GAAGCTCAAGGTCATTTCATTCATTCTGAAAGTTCTACTGACGACTGTTCTGCTAATATTACATGCCAATGCAACTTTGCATTCTTAGTATTCCTACTGCCAGCTTTTACCTGTGAAATGGATAATAATTACTCGGTTAATTATCAAGCCTATCAGGTGGTGAAATAGAGGAGGAAACAGAAAAATAAGCTGAAGAATACTTTATTGGGTGAATAAAAATGTGGAACTACTCTGACAAATTGCCACTAGCCAGTAATCAACTTGTAGTGTGTGAGAAGGTGAAAGGACTACAGGATTGCTGCCATTACATTGTTGATAGTAAGACTCACTTACATTATATGTGATGGCAGGCACTATGTGAAGTGCTGTATCTCAAAGCCACAAGAACCTGCTGCAGTTATCCTGTCTAGATCATTTATATTATTATTGAATAAATATGGTCAGAAAATTCAAATGACATGCTTAGTGTAAGAAAGACTGTCAGGTTGCCCGTTTCTACCCTTCCTCCTTAAAGGGTCTTGTTCTCTTGCTTAATAATTCATAAAATTACTGAGGCATCTCTGTGGACATTCTCCTTGAGAAATTTGAGTTTTATCCTGTAGAATAAGTTGCAACCTATTTTTATACTCTTTGGAGGGTTGGGGATCATTACTTATGTACTATGTTGTACATATGGAGATTGGAGAACACCTTTGTAGATTTTATTCTCTCCTATCTTCACAGGGCTCTGGGAATTGGACTCAGGTCATCAGGCTTATGCTGCAACCACCTTTACTCAGTGAATCATCCATCTTACCAGCCTATAGCCCATTTCTGTAGCTATGTCATCCCACGGCCAAATATTAACTATTCTTCCGAATGAAATTCCTAATCAGATTCTATGGGACTAGTAGTTAAAGGTAAAGAAAAACTACCATTTCTAAGCCCACTTGAGGAAAAGGGGAAGAGCAGTACTTCTCTCCTAAAATGAAGAAGGAAAAGGAAACCCACAATTTCAAGTGAAGCTTGTATTGGCAGGAAGAGGGGTAGGGTGGGAAGATCGGTGTCTAATTAGAAGAAGGAAGGGAAAAGAGCTACAAGGTAGAATAGAGCGAAACTTGGTCCTCATTTCTATGTGCACAGACCTCAGCAGACAGCTGGAAACCTGCCAGAGAAGGAGGCCTTGGAAACAAGCGGGAAGACATTGGAGAGACTTTACCAAAACAAACAGCAGCAGGGGATGTGGTTGGCAGTACCAAAAAAGCAAGGAACTCTGTGAGTCACTCTTACATTAACTTTGAATGGTATCATCTCTCCATTTTGTTGTATAGGTTAGTTGTTTAACAGCTGCTACTGTCTAATATATCTATGAAAAATATAGACATTTTTATCTTGACAATGTAACATTATAGACAGAAAAGACAATCCAGAAAAAATATGCACTAGAAAAATATCTTACTAATAGTTTTATTCAATATTTTTCAGCTGCATATTCGAGCATAAGTAAGATGTAAGTGTCATAATGAATATGTTATTTAGCACACTAAGTATATATCTGTTATTTTCCTAAATACTGCTTTATTAAACAGTGTAATACCAAGTATAAGGTAAGTCATTTCCATCATTTTTTTATTTATGGTGTTATTGAGTTTTTCTTTGTGGAAATAATAGCAACAGTAATGAAAATAACAGCTATTTTAACAGAAATCTACCATGTGTCAGACATTCTATAACTACTGTTTCTAAGTTTCATCCACGTTTGCAAGGTAAGTAGGAAGAACTCTATATTATAACCAAAAAGAAATGTGTAATCAGAGGTTAAATGGCTGATTCCCTACCATAGCTCCACGGTATGTGCCTGGTTCAAAGGAGCTATGCCCTAACCACAATATACCAACTTTCTGCTGCAGGGACTGTTTTTATTGTTCTAATTTGGAGTGTTTTATTATAAACTTCTAAAATTAGAATTATTAGTGCAAAAAGGATAATCCCTTTAAAACTGATGACAACTTACTCCATGTTGTTTTCTATGAGGTTAATATTAATGTACCTTTTTACAGGAGGAAATTAAGAAATAATAAAAAGGGGTAAAGTCACAAGTGAGTGACAGAAAAATATCTTTTTGTTGTCACTAGAACTTTAATCTTAACTATCCCGAAACTGGGCTCCATTTAGAAAACAGTGGAAAGAACTTTTATCCCTGGATCTAAATAGGTTCACATAAAATTCTTCGAAGCTGATGTGTCTTAACATACAGTGAAAAACTGCATCATAAGCATTCATTTAAAAGATATTTACATAGACTGACCACTTTGTAGGAGGATATGAAACCCAGAAAGAGAGCCACTCCTAACCTAACAGCAAGAAAAATAATCAATCTACAAAATCACACTTTTTTGAATCTAGGGAGGAGTTCAAAGCCATAAACAAGCCTTGAGTCTGAAGAAAGGCATGGACTCAGCTATGGCTGCAGGGGAAACAGACATACATACAAGCAGACATAAAGAAAGCATGGATTTTTTTATGTGAGTCACTAAAGACCACGCATGACTTTGCAAACGTCTTGGGAAGTGAGAAACAGTATGTAACTACAGACACACAGGCATCTACGTGTGGATTTATGGCACAGCCAAAATGAAGGAAGATGCAACACTACTAGGACGAGGCAAGGAAAAGAGAGAGGACATCTTGGAAACCCATGTGCACACGCACACATGCACGTATGCACACAAACACACACCAGAAACTATGGAAAACATGGAAATGGAGTGACATGTTTATACTGCTGAGAGAAAATGTCAATCGAGCCCCTATGCTTGTAAATATCTTCCAGAAGTAAAGAACTCATACATTTCATTATTAGAATTCTCAAACTATATAAGGAACATTGAAGTCTTAGTCTTAAACTCCTCATGTCAGGTATAAAATTGGATTGTCACAAATAAATGAAAATTTTAGAAATGGCTAAACTAAACATTAATATAAAAGGCATTATTTTTATTTTGTCTAAAGAAGTAGACCACCTAACTCCCCCCCAAAATGGTAAGTATAGAGTCAGTATATTCAATATAAATAAAACTTGTGGTACAATTGAAGGTTTTTATTACATGTAAAAACAAAATTTAAAATAGTCATAATCATTGCAAGTCATCTGGTATACCATACAACTTAGTGTAAGGGCATTGCTTGACTTGCATTAACATAAAATCTATATTTAAATATTCATTTGTGGTGATACCTATATGATTATAAATATTGGTTTAAACTAATGATTATAAATATTCTGCTTAAACTCATAAGTAAATTTAATTAATTATATACTAGACCCAGAGTTTTAAAAAAATAAATTTTCATGCATAACATACCTTTTTCCCTTTTTGACTGTTCTTCTGGTGAGGATATCAGAGCTCTGATGAATGTTTAATTCTTACCTTATTTCCAGCATTTGGTGATAGAGAAGGTGCTATGCTTCTTAGAAGAATTACAAATGCATATATACATATATACACCCATCTCAGGAATCGAAATATTTATATAATACACATATTCTAAATGTGTATGTCATAAGAAGGTATTTTGTTACCCATGTATAATGTGTTTTATCATTGTATTAGGAGGAAAAACTGAGAATATTAACAATATGAAATTCAACATTGCATAAGCAATGTACTTGGTTCTATGCCATTATTACTGTCTGTAGATAATCAGTTCTGTTTATGTGTAAGATCAAAACTATTTGAAGAACAGGAAACCTTTGTCCTCTTTGTTGTCACTCTCTCTGTTCCCTGTACTCGTTAAGCTTACTTCCATACTCAGGGCCTGCCTACATTGTGGAATGTGCTTTGGTAAGAAAGTTTATAAAGCATCTCACACTTCAAAGTGGGCAGATAAATTAGAGACGAAGCCTCACTGGGAAGATGCTGCTCCAGACATGTCCTTATAGAGGACATCCTTGTCTGAATGGGTAAGAAGATGTTTCCTTTAGGTCTAGATTGGGGCATTGCTACACAATCCATATTAATATGGCCTGTGGTTTACTGGGCAGTAAGGTTAGCCTACGTATAGTAACATTGCTTTCAAGGAAAAGTCCTTGGCAAAAGAAGGGCTTCCTTGTATAAAACCTTGTATTTTAAAACATAAGATAGAAAATAGAAGTCTATCATATTTTAGAGTACAAGAAGCAGGCTTGACTAAAGTGACAATGCTACTTACAATCTCTTAATACTGTCCTAACCCCCTGGAATGTCTGAATATTCGCCTCAACAACATCTTGCTTTTATCCTCGTGATAGCAGTTTTTAATCTTCCAGGAAGCAAGTCAACAATGAACCTCCAATCCAAATGAATTTCCCTGTTTTGTACTTCTATATGGCTATGAGTTTTCTAACAGTTAGTACATGACAATTAGAATTGCATAGCTGTGTGTTTACTTGCATACAATATGTGGGTGTTTTAAACAATCCTGTATACATATGCACACTTAATGATTTGTTTCAATATTATAATCCCCAGAAGAGTAGGAACGACACTTGTTCCATTCATTAGTTCATCCCAGGGGATTGTCATAGTTCCTAGGGCATACTTAGTTTGTAATATATAATTATTAAATAAGTACAGCTCTTCTTGAGAAATTCTTTAGCAAACTTTATCTATACATTGCAAACTTGTTAATATAGAAAATTAATGAATTTTGTCTATCAATAATAAAACATTCAATTTAAAGTTGAATATAGATGACAAATCCACTGATACATATTATAAAATAAGTAATATTATTATTTTTGTATATCCTATTTGATTTCCCTCTTTTAATCAAGGAGTTTCATTTTTGCTTCTAATTTTGCATCTTATGCTCTTTGGTTCAACATTTTAAAATCTCAATGATGTATTTTAATTTGATTCGCCTCTCAGATTTATATAATATATTTTAGCAATATTTTATTTACACTGTTGGTGGTTTGACTCACAATTACTGTTGTTATTAGAAAATTAAACATGAATAAATAACCTAGTTCCACTTACCAAATAGATTTTCCCGTAAGTACCAAGACCAATGGTTTTATCTAGTGAGAATATTCCAGTTGGATCCTACAAAAAGCAGAACAAAAATTATCAGTTTCCTTGAAAAAATTCCAATCCTCGTTGTTCTTTTAGAATTCACAAAATAAAAGACACCCCCTGAAACACGTTGTTTGATTAACCCATTTCCCAAAAGAATATGTAGCAATGTCCTCAGATTGAATGTGGTAATTTATTTTAAAACACACTAAGAAAGTATGCAATTATATATTAAGCTGTATACAGGTAAGTGTAGTGATATACTGTTTATGATATATTAAAGCTTGCCTGAAAGTAAATTCTTACCTTTATAAAGACTGGGGCATTCCTATTCTCAATGTGGCTGGAGAATTAATGCCTGATACTGAGACCTTGCTCCTTATATACCTTATATACCTCCCTAATGCTGGGATTAAAGGTGTATGATCCCAGTTGCTGAGATCATCTTTGTGTGAGCTGTTTCTCTATAGGACTGGATTAATCTTGTGTAGATCCGGGTGGTCTTGGACTCACGGAGATCTGTCTACCTCTTAATCCTGAGTCCTAGGATTAAAGGTGTGTACCACCACCTCCTAGATTCTGGCTGCTGGGATTAAAGCTCTGTTCCTGGCTACTATGGCTTGTGGCTGACTTTGATTTCCGAATCCTCAAGAAAACTTTAATAAATCATAAATAATATCACCATAAGTAATTCTGAGTAAACTACGTAGATATAAGTAAGATAGAAACAAGTTCACACACTTGCTAAAGAAGTATTCACTTATTAACCCTTTCTGAGTTCTAACGAGATAGATTAAAAAGTTTGTAGATATTGGACAAAGTCTAATTAACTGATTTATAACACAGAAACACTTAGAACTGCTGTTTCTATATATGAACAATAAAGCACAAATCAAAGCATTAGGAGCTTATCTATCTAAAACCAGGAGATAGTGTTGGTTTTGCTTCTTACATTCACATTTACATCAACTGAGTGTCTTTTCATGGCACAAACTGATCAATATTCTTTTGACTCTTCATATCAAAGAAAATATATTTATGAATACAGTCCTGAATCTTTCATATTCATCATCGAGTATTATGCTCTTACCTTGTAATGTGAATATTATCTTCCCATTCACCAAAAATATGGTTAAATAAAGTTTGTTTTTTTAATCAACACCAGAGACTTAAAAATATTTGTATGAACTATGAGTAGATGTCAGTTTATGCACATAATGGTAAAGGCATTGGCAAGTACTTGCAAATCCAGATAGTGTACAGAACACAAATACCTAATGATGTCATAAAATAATTTTACCACTGTGAAAAATGCAAGATAAAAAAGAGTAAACGGAAAGCTACTTAGTAAGGAACATACATGAAGAAAGTCATACATTTAAGATTAGTGTGTTATTTATGTGATCAAGCAAAACTGCCATGCTTAAATGACAACTCCAGATTAACTTCAATCAACAAGTATACAAATGGAGTCAGGAGAAGTGAGTTTTGATTCCAGAGCTGTTAATAACGAAATGTACAGCTCTGGGTGACGTTTATTCTCTTGGGTTCCATTATCACATGTGAAAAATGAAGGCATTGTGTTCAGTGATTTCTGAGTTCTAATATTTTGCAGGAAAAAATATCTGATACTTTCATCCTAAAATCCAGCTGTTTCCACAGAAATGACAAAAGCATTAAGGCAGCAGACTCTTGTTTTCTTAAAAACACTCATTACAATTAATAATAACACAATAAAGTCATGATTAAAAACAAGTTGATCCAGGCACATCTTCCAGCTGAAAATTTAAAAAAATCTTTAAATGACAGTTTTTAGTATTTGAGAAGAAAACTATATTTAGTATCTTGTACATAGCTTTTGCTATGACTCTCTGGAGGACTTACGGGGAAACGGTAAGCAACAAAGGAGTTACTCAGAATCAGCTTTTAGGGATTGTTACTTTAGCACATTTCATCCAAAGATATCATTGAGAAGTTTATTTACACCATGAGCAAGTCGAGAAACAGCAACTGCTCACTTTATAAAAATGCATTTATTTATTTATTCCTTCTGTAATGTGTGTGGGCGCATCCATGCATGCCATAATGCACACATGGAGATCAGAGGACAACTTCTCAGAGTCCTGCTTTCGGCTTGTGGGTTCCAGGAACTGAACTTCAGTCTTCAGACTTGGCCGCAAGCACCTTTACCTGCTGAGCCATCTTGTTGGGCCAGGTTACTTTTTAAAACAAACAAGTTATCTAAATCCTATTGGTAAGCTATTACTTTTATAAGTACGGTTGTGTTTAACATGATAAGATACCATGTTTGGGAACTCTCACATTGTCTGTTGATATATAGCTGGAATCTCTGAATCTTCAGAAATTTATCTTATCCTATATCTGCCCTTCAACAATAAGCATATCTTTTTTTTAGTTTTTCAGAAATAATTTATTTTAAACAACAATGGTGTGTCTTTCACTTAGTTGGAGGAGTTCTTTGACTCTAATTCTTTAGCACCCATCACATACTTATTTTTTTATTTTCTTTTTTATTTTAAATTTAAATTAGAAACAAGGTTGCTTCACATGTCAATCCCAGGTCCCTCTCCCTTTCCCTCCCCTCCTCCCGTGCCCTCCCACCAACCCCTGAATACCCCCTCATTTCCTCAGGGAGGGTGAGGCCCGTCATGGAGGTGTCCATAGTCTGTCATTTCATCCAGGGCAGGGCCTAGACCCTCCTCCAAGAGTCCAGGATGAGAGTGCACTTCACATTGTGGGAAATAAGCATATCTTATAGTGGGTTTTAAGTCAAAAGAGAAAGTAAGGAACTGTACTGTGCAAATCACAGAAATCTTGTTTCAGCTTCGTTAACATTGTCTGAAATCTTTGTTTTCTAGTCACGAGTAATGAAATCATCTTAATTACCCTAATTCTCACTTTAAATAAAATAATACATTTTTAAATTTCAAGTTTTAAAAACACATCAAACTTAGTATTTCTATATTGTAAGTCGGTTCCTCTCATTCATTCTGCATACTCTGTTAATCCTTATCTCACGTCTAATCTGTTCTACAACTAAATGATTTACTAAATTCAGATAAAAGGAGAGAAGAACTTTGCTGATTTGTAAACTAATGCACAGTATTTATATCTCACTTTCCGTTTTTAGTGCCCATATGTATTCTGGACTATAAAATAAGAAAGCCAAATGTTTAGATCTTCTCTCAAAAAGTGAGATGAAAAAAAAATAAAAAGGTCAAATTATTTCTGAGCCAGAAACTTTTAGGCAATTTTTTAAACAATTTTTCACATATTTCTATATATCCAAATTGTCTCTAGTAAATTAAAATCCCTAATGGAATTGTCCTTGAAAACCAGGATTTGAGAGTTGTTTCTTCTGAAGGAAGGCAGGAGAAGGAAAGACTGAGCACCCAGTGGTTTGTTCTCTTAAGGGTGTGGAAGAAGGAAGCAAATGAACCACTAGAAGGCAGTGTTTCCTGGTCAAGGAAGACACATTCCCCAGCCTGATCAATACAACTAAATGTGCCTATGCAAAGGAGGAAAGGAAAGCAATACAGGGTCAACACAGGTAGCAAGAAGTTTCAAATGTACTGACATTCACTTAAAGATTAGGGAACATGTTCCACTGCTTACAAAACATAGGTGAGAATAAACACTGAGTATATAGTGCTTTCCTTTCATTATTTTAATGTTACAAATAGTAGTTTTATGAAAAGAACTTGGAGGTAGAGTTCCTAAAATGTTGGTTTTAATGAGATGAGCGTGAAGGATGAGCTTCACAATAGAATCAGAACTTAGGAAGGAAAAATCTGTATAGACCTCTACTTCGTAGTCCATGGCTTGAATATATATTCCCTCCATGAGACTCATATAGAAACCCTGTTTAAAACTAAAGAATTCTTATTATGAAATCAGAATTCCCTTGGATGATTCTTTTAAGATACCCAGATGATTCTCAATGCACGTACCCTGTCTCTGTGCACTAACATATGGAAAAAACGCTGTCCTGGAGACGGGGAACGTGCTTCAGAAAATAGACTGAATTACAATGTCAAGCTGAGGCAGTATTCTACATGTACTGGATGATATACTTGTTATTACAAACCTTGTGCACTTGAAGGCAAAATTGCTTCCACAGAGCAGCTCAGGGGCTTGGTTAAGTGGAAAGCTTCTCATGACTGAATGTGGAACTTGGGTTTTGCCTTCTTAATGAAGACTGGGAAAACTGGAAGTTATATTTAACTGTAAACCTAGTGTATTTAAAATATAGAGTTTGGATCATGTACTATTTCAGATCACCTCTGCCACTACTGTCCTCAAAGCCTGTCTAATCCTGACCCCAATATAGATTAGAAGTATACATGACAGTGTCAAATACCAAGTCCAAATCCACAAGGAATGTCATTACCATACTGGGCAGAGAAGGCTTGGGGGACAATCATAGTGAAAGACCAGCTAGATTTGGAGAGGAAGAAGACTGAGTTATGCAGGCTTACCAGTCATACATACATTATATCATAAATTATAAATGAGCAAAAATGTAATATACAATTGTCGTTATAAACACATACCACAATACAATTCTCTTTGCAAAGAAAGGAAGCATCTCTGTACCACAAATCTCTGTACTTTTCTTCTCCTATAGGAAGTATATATTCAATTAAAAATTGGGAAAAGTTAGAGCAGGTCATTGACTAGAATGATTCTGTATAGTCCATTTTTACTACCAGCACTTAGAAAATAAAGGCAGAAGAACCAAGAGCTCAAGACCAGTGTCAGCTACATAAATAACTGGAAGCCTGCCAGGGCAAATATGGTTGAATTGACCTATTCACTGATAATTGTAATGGCTTTCTTATCTTCTAAGACCCTATGGAAGAGTTTTTATAATTGCATCAAAATAGCATTTACAATTGTGAAATTTGTGTAATTTCTCTCCTCTAATTTCACTACTGCCTAATGTTTTAGCCATAAACATTACCTAATTAAAATTACCACATAAATTTATAGCAATTTTTGTTGTTTTGTGCTACAAAGAGAGTCTTTTTGGAAGTTCAGGCTATTCTGGAACTCACTATGCAGCCAACACTAGCCCTAAAATCATGATTCTTCTATTTCATGACTCAAATTTCCATCTGTTTCTTTAAATTCCAATTTATACTCTTGTACAAGCCTGTGCTCTCTAGGATTACTATGTTTGTGCGTGCCTCTGTAATACGTGACTTGAACCCAAGACCTGTTCATGCTAGGCATGTACTCTACAGCTCAGTCAGTCCATACCCAGGCCTCCAAGATTCCTTTAGATCAATTTGACATCTGAAGGGTTGAATCTCTCCTCATTATCTAGCTGTTTCCAAACTGTTACACTTAGCAGGGACATGTGCCAATATTCTCTCCTTCATATGTGTCCTATTGAAAATAACTATTGCAAGGGACACTGCCCTATGCCGTTTTATTTTTTCCTTGATTATGTCTCTCTGCATCATAATGTAAATGTCTATCTAACTTAACTATCAATTCATCTATTCATTTACTTCAGTCTTCGAGATATAAATTAAATGTAAAAACAAACATAACAAAAAACTATAGCTCTGTGACTAAAGAAACAATGACTTTAAATCTCTAAACTTTTGATATAAATAAAATATTGAAGAGTATGCTGCTCTTCAGCTATGTTTCTTGGAATTTCGATCTAGGGACAGGGGGGAATTACCTATGATTTTCTCAGACAGTGCAGAAATATAAAATTCAGAAATATAAGAATTTTTCTAAATTGAACCTTCTATGAATTTAAAATGAGGGAAACTATCATTTGTACGCCATGTTTTTGTGTCTTTTCAATATCCCCTAACATTACAAACCAATCTTATCTTATTCTCCTGTACCCACTTGCCACCCTCATCCAATCTTGAGAACACTAATGCTTAGTGAACTATAATGTAAAGATTTCAGCCTTTTTGCTTATCTCATCGACTCTCATCAGATCTGTATGTCCCATAGCCATGACCAGGTTAGTTAATCCGGGGAATTTATCCTCTATGTTTGTGGTAATAGCGCCTTTCCTTTTTAGTGGTTGTTGTTCTGTGGGTTTGGAGTTCCCTATGCTATCGTTTCTATAAGGTCTTTTCCATCCCCCAATTTGGTCATTTTTAGACAGCAGCTTATTTCAGCTTGTCCATGTGTGCTTACACACACACACACACACACACACACACACACACACACACACACATCAAGAACGCTGAGGTAGCAGCTCACTCACTGGCCTTACAGTCTTATTTAGGAACACATCAATCACAATCTGAAAAAGAAAATTCTGCTCAAAATGCAATCCACCAGTTGAGTCCTCCATAATCCATAATATCATGTATACATCCTGGAAAAGAAATGGTTTCAAGTGTATGTGGGATGAAAAATGGTTTAATTTTTATCTTTGGTCTTATTTTATGGAGTTGCAACAATAACAGCATTTCTAACAGTTGCCATTCAACAGTTTTGATTTGAAGTATGGTCTCTTAATGATTGATAGCAGTTTGATAAAATATTACCCATGCAGGCCACTTCCCCTCACCACATACCATACCAAAAGGAGGCCTTGGAAGTGTCCCATTTTTAGGGAGGAAGGTATCTGCCGTCATTAACAACCCATATCTTGAAATGCCAAACATACACAAAATTAATTAAGGCAAGATGACTTTGAATAGTCCTATAACCTCACAGTTAATATTTAGCTTTTCTCAAGGCAAGGAGGCCAATGCCCTGAACTACGCATGCTTGGCGATCATTCCAGCACAGAGCCTGCTTAGTTCTCCTTTGGAGAGTCCAGGGGCCCATTGCATTCAAGAGAGGGTGCAAGTGAAATGCCAATCTAAAAAGGGAACTTGAAAAATGGATTTGGGTGGGATCCAGTATCAGCCAGAAACCAGATGCCAATGAAATAAACGGTGTTGTTACAGTAGTAAGTCTGTTGTTTACGATGCCTTTAGTAGCGCACCAATCAATTTCAACTGGACGTGGAGTAAAAGCAGACCCTGCACATAACCACGAACAAAAAATTATATTTTGTTATCTAAGGGGCATAATACATTGTTTCAAAAATTAAAAGGCATGTACAGAATTCAGTTCTTATGCAGGCGCCGTCGAGTTCTTTTCGCTCCAGCAATACTAAATCGAGAACATTTTCCTGGTGAGAATAAACTTTTAGAAACTAGTACTACAAAGTGAGAGCAGTGTTACTCAATGCTTCAATTTTTCTAGTGCTCATTACTTTTTAAGGGGTCACCCATGGGCACAGATCTCGGCTGGCAAAAGAAGCTGGGGGTGGGGGAAGGTCAGCCACTTGTCCTCTCCATGAACGCTGCTATTACAGGTACCCGGGAGCAGCTAGATAAAGTGAGATCTATTTCGAAAAGGCCCCACCCTGTAGGACCCACTTCTTTCTCCCCAACCTCACCCAGTCCCTTTCTTTTTTGTGGCCTTCACCTTAGCCAGGAGCCCAGGGACGCTGATTCTACGCAGGAGCTTTCCTGGCCCATCCTGAGGCACAGCCCGTCGAAGTCCTGGCCTAGGCTGCTGGAGGGTGTGGGCTGTTTTCCCCCAGGCTTTCAAAAGCCTCGGAAAGAAGCGCACAAGGAGGGCGGTGGCCTGGGGGTACTTACCGGTAAGTGGCCCAGATCTGTCACCTCCTTGTCCCTCCAACCCCCAGGTCCTGCCATGACTTCGAGAAGAATCGGAGCAGGAGACAGAGACCGAGTCCAGCAGGAGCGCTGGGACTGAGTCTCTGAGATAAAGGAGGAAGAAGAGTTTAAGGGGGTCCCGGGAAGGGAGGAGGGGATGGGAGAGAGGAAAGGGGACGTGGGTTTGTGGCGTGGGAGAGGAGGGGAACGGAATGGAAAAGAGTGAGCTGAAGGGAGGAGGAAGAGGAAAACTCGAGTTTTCGAGAGGCGGGAAAGTAAGTTTGGCTAAGGGCAAGAGAAGAGCTCCGGCGTCGGTCCGTCCGAGAGACGAAGAAGCCAGAAGGGTGCTCCGCAGAAAGAGCGCACAGCGGCCGGGGCAGGGTGCGCCTTTCAGGGTGAGGAGGGGGGCGGTGCAAGGCGAAGGGGCCTGGAGGAGCTCGAAGGGGATTGGTGGAGCGTCACGTCGCCAGGTGGGCAGCCGCGCAGCAGGGAGGCGAGCCAGGGGGCCCCGGGGCTGAGCGAGCCTCTGTAACGGTCTTAGGGCCAGCCTCTAGCCGCTCGCACCCCGCCCCCGGGTCCTGGGCTGCGCCTGCCGCCCCCGCCCCCGCCGGCCACTGTTCCACAGGAAACTTTTGCTAGGCAGCTGCCAGCCCCGGAAAACCGGTCCCGCTCAGCGCCGCTCCCAGTCTGGGCCCCACAGCTCTGCCACAGTCCAAACAACCCGCACCGTCATCTCCCCCCAAAGAAACACTGTAACTTTCCCAGTGGTCTGGGTTCTCTTTCTCGTTGCCTCTAATTTAATCGCTCAGCTGATGGGGAAAAAATCAGGAAAGAGAAGGAAAGGATTCGCCCGTCGGATTGGGGAGCAGACTTGGGTGTGCTCTAGAATGGAGGAATGGAGTCTCTAGGTCGGCAACAACTTGAATCTTCAGAGTTACTAACAGCTCAGGACAGAGCAGAAAGTTCCTTAGATCCCCCTGGAGGCATCTGCTTCTCCTCTAGCCCAGGGGCTAATTGGCGTCTGGCGGAGGCTGCTCAGTCAAAAACACACCTGAGAACAGGTGTTTGGGTTAAGAGACACAGACCCAGTGTCAGCAACCCAGGCTGATCTGTGTCCTAAATTTGCAGGCTTTGAGCTCGCAGTGAGTCCAGAAAGTTTCTGCTTGTTTTCCAGCCGCCAGTGTCCCGGCCGGGTTTCATTCATTCACTCATTCATTGCAAAACTTTTAAGGGCTCCGGAGCTGTGCGCCTCCGTTTCCCGCAAAGCGCAAGAAGGCTGATACTTGGTTCCTACTGGGCAAACGTGATTTAGCTTTAAGTAAGTTGCCTCTTGAAGCATTTACAGAAAAGGAAACCAGGGCATAAAACTAACCACATTCTAAACTCTTACACACTACAAAGAACACTTTAGAAAAATGTCCTAAAACTGCTTACATTCCCCGGAGCTAGCTTACTGTGCTTTGAGTACCCGAACGCCAAGTCACAGTGCTATTAGGAATTTGTTTCCTGTTTCTTTTTTCTTTTTCTTTTCTTTTTTTTTTTAAACAAATTTTGTTAACTATCCTAAGGAGATTTATACGAATAATTCCTCCCACTGTTCTCGAGTTTATCATTTCTGACCCAGCTTCCAAAATTTTGTAATTATTCCTCTTATATGCTAGTAGATTTTGTTTATTTTATGTCTGTTTCAACGCTAGAGTTTGACTTCTTTACGATCCTTTATCTTAGAGACTTGGTGAGCTCTGTAATGGCTACAGCTTGTCCGAGGAACCCAGTCTGGCTACTTGAAGATTCTCTGTTAATGGCAGCAGAATAAACCAACCAGCACCTCCTTCAAAATAACAAGCTGGGGTGTACTAAATTGAATCTTCTTAAAACAAATTTTATATACATACAAATATATATATATTTATCATCGCAGAAATTGCACTTTCGAAGAACTCAATTCTTGACAACTCTGCCACAAAAAAATCCTATTCCTTTAAAAACAATTTAAGATTTCCTGAATGTTCAGTCAAATGCTTCTGGATTTTCCTAAGTGGAAGTTGGAAAATGAACATTCCATATCTTTAAAAAGGAAGATTTGCATTTCATACAAAATTACAATTTTGTATGTATATCTGGTTGTAAGAAATCAAGCCAGGGAAATCAAGAAATACAATTACAGGGACTCTGAAGATAATCCTAAAATGATCCTACTTTTTCTGTGTTAAAGGAAAGACATATTCACAAGTTAACATTTTTACCTCCAATGTTTGCTGAATGTGGGGGGTGGGGAAATGCCTCCGTGGCCAACTGTTTCAGCCTAGGAAAGCAAATCCTGACCAAGCAAGAGAATCCAGATTAGATCTTTGTGTTTTCCAGTAGCATATTGGGAAACTGCAGGAGCTTCTTGATTCTACAGGTCTGGTTAAAGTGTCTGGATGGCCTCCTGTGGGTGGGGCAAGCAGAACCTAGATGTTTAACCAGAACTCCACAGAGAAACCTTTATTTATTTATTTATTTAGGTTATGATTTTCAAGGAAAAAGGAGGAATGTGGACACTTCGCCTTTTAAGATGACATTATGGGGGAGTTTTTGATACTTATTTGGAGAAGGTCAACCTACCTACTGCACCAGCAGATACGGATAGCACCCAAAGGTTCAGCTCAGAGGACAGTCTTCAAACACAGCACCTGTTTTCCAACTCCAGGCATTCTTGTCCCCTCACCCCACAGGCCAGTTTCCTTAACCCTGTCCCACATGCTTCTCCACCGTCCCTGTCCTCCCTTTCCTCCCTCCTGACCTCAGCAGCCATAAAAGTAATCCTACTTTGTCCAAGGTCCAGGAATTTGTCAGACTGTTTTTTTACCCAGAAATGATCTCTCAGCCCACATTCGAGGTCCCATGTTTTTCCACACTCTCTTCCTCCAACCCATTGTGTTTTCTTAAGACCCTGGGCCCTTTTAAACTTTTGGTTGTTGATGTATTTTATAACTAAATTTTATTGAAATGTTTACCATATGTGCCACACTAATAGCTTGGCATGTAATATCTCCTTAATTTTGCCAACATTTTCTAGTTTATTCATTATAGTCTTCATTGTTTAGTTAGGCAAATCGAGGCAGAGAGGTAAGAAGTGACTTTCTTAAAACCTCACAGGTAGTAAATATTTAGATGATCCTGGCTTCCAACCCAGGCACTCTGACTCCAGAGACCACTTGTCATTTGCTGTGGAAGGGCTGGTGCATATTTTGAGACTACATGAAGAGCAGCCAGATTCAAAAAATCCCAAGGGAGAGTGAGATCAGATAACACTAGCTAGGCCCCTGAGCTATCCCCTTCCCCCTCCCCCTTTTAGTGCTCAAGCCCTCCTCCAAGTATCATGAGCTTTATACAAAGAAATAGGACCTAGTCATTGCCTAAGCAAAGCCTATGACTCTCTGGGCAAAGAGCTCCAGGAGGAGTATCTGATAGGGAAATTTCACGGATTTGAAGCTGAAGATCTGTCCAGAAAATTCACAAGCACCCTTTAGTGCCCTAAAAATCCCCCATTAGAAGACACGCAGTAGCTCCTTAGTGGAAATTCCACCATGGATGGGGTGGGGGCTTATGAGGCCCCATCTGTAAGAGAGAAGCTATTCGCAGTTGTTGGCTGCTGGAGGAGGGTGAGCCAGTTTCCTTTCTGAATATGCCTCCTGGTAAGTAGTCCATGCTCCAGTGGAGGTCCTACACTCGTACACACATGGGCGACACTAATTGAACTCAGTGCCTTATAGGAAAAAGAGGATATGCAGTTGAGAGGGAGACACGGTGGGAGGGGTCTTAGAGGAATTGAAAAGCAGAGTCCAAGTGATAAAGATACACTGTATATATGTGTGAAATTCTCAAATAATAAATAAAAATAGTTTTAAAACCCATTAACATGTCTCCCAGAGAGATTTTTGGCTGGGAATGAACTGTGTTCAGTGAGGACTTGAAAGGAGGCTGTGTTTGTGAGAAACCCTCCTTAGCAGATGTGTCACACTAAATGCAAAGGAACAGCTAACTAGTTAGCCACTTGAGAAAAAGTTGTAAAATGATGTAAAGAATGGGTTTGATCCCCCCAGGGGCCCGGTGTGCCTCTTTGGTCTTGATAACATCTCCTCTCTCACCAGTCAATGTGCCTTTTAGTAGAAAATCAAATTCCAAGTCAGTAATTTCATCTTTGTAAATAGAACTACATATTCATTTTTTTCATAGACTTGGATGATGACATTATTCTTGGAAGAATAATGCTAAAAACGCAGATATATTTTATGAAAAGTAATGGTTTCAAAGATTCCAGATCTCTCTAGAAGCAGAGGCAAGATGATCTAAAGCAAAGCAATAAAACGATTTTCAATTGTTGTTGCTTTTCCTTCATTTATGCATTTACTATCACGAATATATGCCAATAGATATAAAACATTACTTTAAGTTTTGAATGTTACAAAATGCTTTATTTTAACAAATTAAGTACAATACCACCTCATTTGCCTTCCGAGAATGTGTTCCAAGACCCCTAGTATGTGTCAGAACTCACAATAACTACTGAACTCTATATACACCTATTATTCTTTTTCTATACTTGATACCCATATACGGTTGAATTGATAAATTAAGAACAACAAGAAATTAACAACAATAACTAATGCTAGAACTGAACAATTATAATAACATTCTTCAAGGAAAGTAATTGGAAACTTATAAATCAGTTATTTCTGGAATTTTCCAGTCAATATTTTAGAAGCATAGCTCACTGTGGTTAAGAGAAACCGTGGAAAGCTACTGAGGCTTAAGACAGACTGCTGTGAACAAAAAGTCTGTCAGTTATTAGGTTTCCTCTAAGATGTCACTTCTAAAAATGAATTGTCTTAAAAACTTCTATTAGCATAAATTTATTGTGTACAGGATAGGGTCCTGGGAAGGGTCTTGAAAAGAAGATCTACTCATGCATAATTCAAACCACTACTGGTCCATTATCTTAGAATCAACATGGGGCAGCATACCTGGTTGAAAATCTCAAGTCCTAGTAAGGGGAGGAAAACTTTGGTAATTGCTGTGCTAAAGACTTGATAAAATTTTGATTGTGGAGATGTATTTGCCATGCTACAGTTTCTACAACAGTTCTGAACAATTTTCCTACCTTACTTTTTTGTATTTCCTATGTGCTCCTCCTCTGGGGATAAAGCAACAATCCACACACTATTTGTCAGGCTAAAGGTCATGAAATGTGCCTTCTGACCATAGTTTGCAAAGCTTCTGTTGCTTGTCATGGAATGCTCTTAAGCTCAGCCTGGTTTGAGCTATGCTTGTT